TTAGTTTATTAAGTTCATTAGCTTTTAATAATATTTGTTCTAATGATTTGTACTTTGAAGAAGCTTGTAGTTTTTCTATTTTGAGAAGTTTTTTTTATTTTTTTAATTCTGAGGGTCAAGGGTCCACTTCCTTTTGGCTTGATGTTAAAAATGAGTAGTAGGTTATGGACTTGTGGCTTTTGTTTTTATATGAACATAAAACTAGTAGGGACATATAGAATATTAGCCCTTTTCTTTTCTTGTAACAATCATATATCTGCTGATTCAAGGTGTTGTTTTGTGAAACTCAATAATTGAGAAGCCATCATGAAGAAGTGTAGATTGAGACTTAGACTGAATTTTCAAATTGGTTTTTGTGGATTTAGATTATCTTGGTCAACTGTTCTTACGTATTTCACTTCTTTACTCAAGTTTTTTTAGGCCAAGATGGAATATGGACATGTTCAGAGGCCAAAATACGACTGTCTTCTTTTCGGTATGCTATCTTTTCTGAAAAATTTAGTTGTTAAATCCCATTTGTTCATTCATTTCATCGTTTATTTATCTTTATGCAAGTTTGATGATAAAGCATTTTGGAATTTACAGATCTAGATGACACTCTTTATCCCCTTAGTGCTGGTCTTGCGACTAGTGTTCGCCAGAATATTGAAGGTATACATGATTTTTCAACAAGATTGTAAGACGAAATCACCCTTTTAAAATGGTAATCTTGTGTCTAATTTAGGAATTAATGTGCTTCTGCAGATTATATGGTTGAAAAGCTTGGCATAGAACAAAGCAAAATTGAGGAGTTGGGTAATTTACTGTACAAGAATTATGGAACCACAATGGCAGGCCTCAGGGTAAAGTTCTTTCTGATTTTACCCTTTAAGAATCAAATTTTGATCATCCAAACTAAGTTTTATTTTGACAACTTTTAACTTAATGAGATAACTTGTTTATTTTTGGCAGGCAATTGGCTACGATTTCGACTATGATGAGTACCATAGGTGAGTATTTGTAGCACTCAATTGATTTTATACTCTCATTGTATTGTATTGGGTTATTGAACTTAAATTGCCTATTTGTTTTTTGCAGTTTTATCCATGGTAGATTACCTTATGAAAATTTGAGACCCGACCCTGTTCTGAGAAATCTTTTGCTAAGCATTCCCATTCGCAAAGTTGTAAGTCCATAATCACAATTCATATGCATTTTATAGCCATCGAAAATGGCTGGTTGTGTAGCATTTTCTAAATGTTCTTTTTTTCGGTGTAACAGATCTTCACTAATGCTGATAAGGTCCATGCTCTGAAAGCTCTGAGTAAACTTGGATTGGAAGATTGTTTCGAAGGGATATTATGCTTTGAGACACTGAATCCAGTTCACAAGAGCACTCTATCAGATGACGAAGACGACATTGAGTTTGTTGGATCAGCCATATCCTTCAACGCCACTGCTACTAACGGCTCTGAGATTTTTGACATTATTGGACACTTTTCTCAACCTAAGGCTGGATCAGTGTTGCCAAAGACACCAATTGTCTGCAAACCTTCAGAAGTTGCCATTGAACGGGCTTTAAAGATTGCCAACATTAACCCTCACAGAACAGTAAGAATTTCAACTGTTTCATTCTTGAATATACAACTTCCAGAATCACTGCTATCTTAATGTACTCATTTGGAAAAATTTCTTTGTTACAGCTTTTCTTTGAAGATAGTGTCCGTAACATTAAAGCTGGCAAGCATGTAGGTCTTGATACAGTATTGGTAAGTAGTTATACTCCCGTTGTTTCATTTTATATGACACTCCTCCCTCTGCTCCACAAATAACGATTCATTTCTATAAATATTGTGAGAAATTCATAACTTCAAACTTCGTATTTTACCATTAACAAGACACTCTTTAACCCCAAGAGCATGTTCAAGACAGCAAGTTCTAAGGTTCTGTTATGGTATATGGGCAGAAGTCTTATCTTTCTTAAACTACGTAAGTCCTACACTGGAGAAACAAAGGGAACAGTTCTTATTAGAGTAATCTCGTGCACTATTACAACAACAACATACTCCTAGAGAGACTGTTTCTTATAGACCCTTCGCTTTAAAGAAAAAAAATCTGTAGCAAGGAAAATAAAATAGCAAGAGGGTAGGGGAGGGGATGAGGCTAACCCCACCTCTCCCACACACAGTGTGGGATCACTCTACCACCAACTAACTGTCAACTCTAATACTCGACCTTCATACTTTCCTATCTAGCGTCATGTAGCCATGTCCTGTCTAATCTTGTGCACTATTACCTCTAATGCTCATGCTGATGTGTTGTTGCTGTTACATTTCAGGTTGGAAATTCCCAAAGAGTTGCAGGTGCAGATTATGCATTAGAAAGCATCCACAACATAAGAGAAGCAATACCACAACTTTGGGAAGTTGACAGGCTGGCTGAAGTTAACTACTCTGGTGTAGCTGTTGAGACATCTGTCACAGCTTAGAATCAATAGTAGTACTATATCATCATCATGATGTTGGCAGAAGAAAAAAAAAATCAAGAATGATTGTGGGAAGATCCAAATGTCCTGTCAAATTTGATTTAAATGATGTTGATGTTTTGTTGTCATTATTATCAATTAATAACTAGTTAATAGTATTTCCTTTCCATTCACAAATCTTGTAAATAAATTCCATATTTATCACTCTACCTTTCTATGATTATATAATAAAGTTCAATTATTAATTGTTCCAAAGGATAAAGTTTTGCATCTCTTTCTGTATGATATTAGTGGGGGCTATAAACCAACCATAGCCCACATATTTTATAAGCTGTTTACAAAAATTGTATTATTATCCAAATAACTCAAGGAGATTAGATTAAAGATCTTATCCCTATAACGTCGTTTGTCTGGATATAAAATGTATGCTATAATATGTTATCAACAAGATAACTTAGTTGTTATTTTAAAATGTTATCAACAAGATGGCGTAACGCATCAAACATGATTCACGTGGGATGGATATTGATACTAATACGTTATTTACAAATATAACAGATTATGATTAAGATGTATAATCAATCTGGCATCAGCACAATAGTGTGGCTTGGAATTTTTTGTTATTTTTCAAGATTGTGACTAATTGGCATGTTGTGTAATTATGGGTTTGATGGGGTACAAAATGATGTCATTTAATGGCATGTCATTTCCATGTGAAGCCAAACTGATATTATTAATAACAACTATATGTTTGATTTAACATAACCTAGTTTGAGGCCTGTGTGGATGGATTGCAACTAGGGTGGAATATCATAATCCTCGACCTTCATGTTTTCCTATTTAAGAACATATCCTTGATGAGCTACAGATGTGTTTAATAACTCTCCCTAATTCCTCCTCGACCTATACCCCTTCCTCTTCTCAAGCATACCACCATCAAATTCTCGCACCTCATTACTAAGGCGTCTGTGATACTCAAATCATTTCAATCTCACTTTAATACAACTTTAAGTTATTAGCATACCATACGTTTATATAAACTCTATATGTGATACATTAACCCAAAACTATCATTATTATACCATAATTTTTGCTACTATATATCATCAATAATCAATACACTATTAGATATATCATATTATGTTTATACTTACACTAAAGTTCCATTTGATATTTTTAATTTTTTTTGGCTTTGGGTAGATGGGGGTGGCAGGGTGAAGGATCATGTTTTGGGTGAGATTGCGTTTATTTCTTTTGTCTCACTGTTCTTTTTATATTTTTATTTTTTATATGGAGGGTAGATTATTAAATAAAATTTCTATTTTAATGGGATTGAAAGTTTTAATTGAAATTTGGATTTCGATGTCTCTCTAAAAAGGACATATAATAGATGCCCGAAAAGCATAAATTCAAATATTATAAACACTCCTACAACTTCTGACCCTACAATGACACAACCTAGAAATCTACTCTTTTTTTCTTGTTCCATGGTTTGATACCATCTAGCCTCTAGCTAGGAAGTCTTGGATTCGTATACCATGAAGGTGAGAAAATCGTCCATGACTAGCTATTCTTATTCTCCTAAAATACTACACAATTTATGTCTTTTTCTTATTTATTTTTTCTTTTTTAACAAATTTCAGAAATTATGCCCTATATGACTTCGATTTCTAAAGACTTATGCCTCACTAGGTATACATTCATTTTTTAAAAGAGAAAAAAAAAATCATAAGACCAACTCATTTCAAGAAAAATTAATGCAATTGTGTTCATTCATGGACTACCTTTCTCCTATTCCTTAAATTTAGGTGATAATTTTTTAGAAATGGTTAGTTTTGGACATGTTGTATACACTCAAAAATAAAATATATATTAGTTGTAAGTGTGACATTTCGGGGTGATGATTTTAAATGTATTGTATATGCTAATATAATTCATACAGAGTGCAAATATAATGTATTTCATTTGTGTGCATATATAATATATCTAGTGAAATTATATGTGTTGATATAACTAAGTTGAATAAACATATACAATGTATCCTGTGAAATTGTATATATTAATGCAACTACGTTGGGCAACCAAATATAACGTATCCAACAAAATTGAACAGATAAATATACCTAGATTGAAGGAATAGATACAACTCCAATATCATAACTATGAATCGTAACTAAATAAATTATAACCACTAATTATAATCATACATGGAAATATTGATTTCTAATGAAGATTGACTCCTTATAGTGAATATGGTAAGAGGTGTATAAGCATTGAAGATTGACTCCTTGTAATGAATATGGTAAGAGGTGTGTAACCATTAGTTTTTTCTTTCGATGAGCGAGAGGAGAAGTATTGTTTGCCAGCGAACGTAGAAGGTTGTAAATGCAATGTGTCTTTAGGCCCAATGATAGGGTGTGACTCCAACCACATCAGGTTTACTTTATAGGCCCAACAAGTAGACCATAAAACCCCATGAGAAGTTGATAAGGTGACATGAAAATCTGACAAATGGATAAGAAAATGTACAAAAATCCCAACTAATAACTAATATACTCTAATAAGTTCACACACTACATTTGATTATTGAATGGACTACTAAAAAAAAAAAATCTTTGCTATAAAAATGGCTGCCTTGACACGTGTATCTCCTTACCAATGTCATAAATTAAGTTTGGTAAATCAGAGACTTCCAGAATTGTTTGTTTCATTTCCAAAGAAAAACAAGAAATTTTGCAAATTCTCAGTGTTGGCAATGGCTGATTTGAATACAAGCACTGTTCTTGTTACTGGTGCTGGTGGAAGAACTGGTAAAGTTACCTTTTTTATGCTTTTGGGGTTTCTTGATTTTGATAATCTTTAATGAAATTGTGTTAGGTTGAGTGTTTTTCCTTTTGGAAGTAAGAAGGGGTTTAGAGCAATGGTAAAGTTGTATTGTATCTATAGGTTACGGATTCGAGTCACGGAAGCAATCACTAATTCTTGTAGTAGGGTAGACTGTCCTTGGACATCTTGGGGTGTCCAGGCTAACGCGGAATGCTTTATGTACCAGGCTGCCTTTTTAATGTGGAGTACTTCTGTAACTACTGATATTTTGTGGCTATGGGGTGTGAATTAAGTATAAAGATTATATTTTTTTTCCAAAAATTGTTTATGTAGTTTTTAGAGTGCTAATTCTGGGGGATTCTATTTATAATTTTGGATTTTGGGGAAGTAATGTGGGACTGAGGCATTGGAATTTGTATGAGTGTGATAATAATGAGACCTAGCTAAGGCATTGGGAAAAAATTGTGGAGAGGAGATCAACTGATACATTTATCGTGGTGCTCGGGCTAGCTTGATCGCACCTTGACTAATTCTATGGAGTACCTGGAAGGAATGGATTACCTTTTGCTAGTACAGGTACCTAGTAACTCTATCCAGCAAGGCTGGAACAGATGAGAAGAAATCAGTAGTGTTTTGGCGAGAGGATTTGAACTTGAGTCCTCATGGTTCTCAATCCACTTTATTGACCATTAGAACACATCTTTGGATGCAGATCAATGAACACATCTTTTTAGACAGGGGCAGACCTAGAGGTTGCCGATGGGGTTCACCCGAACCCTGAACCCCCTCGGCAAAAAATTATGTTGTATATTTATGGTATTTAAGAATTTTTATGTCTCTATATTGATTTTGAACCTCCTAAATGTAAGATTAGAGGTTGGCTTAGTGATTGAGGGGTTCAAAACTAACCTTAAGGTTCCAAGATCAAATCTTAGGCACTACTTTTTTTTCCGAACCAGAAATCCTGGATCCGCCACTGGTTCTAGAAGATAAAGCTTTTATTTTGTTTTCCCCCTTTCAAAAAGAATACTCTAGAAGAAGAGATAGGAGCTCAGGTGGTCAGATACTCATAGCTTGTGCGCTCTAAAACGGTAAAACCAAATTTTGTTGGTCTATTGGTTATTTATCATCATATTTCAATTGGTTGTTTTGTTAAATAAACACATGACTGAACTTAAAAATGTTTAAGAAGTTTCACACAATGACTTAATTGGAGATACAACTTCTGTCGGAATTTTTCTTTTCTGTTCTTGGGCTTCTTGGTAAATGACTAATGCTAGAATTGATCATGTCAAGTGGCTGTGTGCTTTATAGTATGATGTAAGTTGAGATATTCTTGTTCCTAACATGATCAACAATTCTTCTGATCTTTTATTGATACATTGTTCAAATTGTAGGATCAATTGTCTATAAGAAGTTGAAGGAGAGGTCAGAGAACTATACAGCTAGAGGATTGGTTAGAACAGAGGAAAGCAAACAAAAAATTGGTGGTGCAGATGATGTTTATATTGGCGATATCAGGAATACCGAGAGTCTTATTCCTGCTATACAAGGTATTGATGCTCTTGTTATTCTTACAAGTGCTGTTCCAAAAATGAAACCCGGGTTTGATCCAACAAAAGGTGGAAGACCTGAATTCTATTTTGAGGATGGGGCAAATCCTGAACAGGTACATCATGCTTTGGGTACTCATATCCGTCCTCAGGTTCTTAGTTGTTGTTGTCTGACACAAAAGTTACTGACTTTGTATTTTTAGGTAGATTGGATCGGCCAAAAGAACCAAATAGATGCTGGTATGGAATAATCTTGGGCAGTTCTGGTACTTAGAATGCACTTCTTTCTGCTTATCTAAGATATACAATATGCATTTTACAGCTAAAGCTGCTGGTGTGAAGCAGATCGTGCTAGTTGGGTCAATGGGAGGGACAAATCCTAACCACCCCTTGAACAGTTTGGGGAACGGGAATATATTGGTTTGTAACTTGATTCTTTTCCTTGATCGTTTTCCTGCAAAAGTACTCTCTTTCCTTTATTTCTACTGTCATTTTGACGGCCACATTGCCCGTCCATTTCCACAGCTGCAAAAATATTGCGGCTGCATGCATACTGTTACCTGTTCCATCTTTCTACAAGTTTTTGTTTCTCATAGTCGAGTATCAGAAGCTATTCGAAGTCATATTAGATGTAATATACTCCCCCCATTTCAATTTGTTTTCTGTTTTTGATTTGGCACAAAGTTTAAGAAAGTAAAGAAGACTTTCGAATCTTGTGGTCTTAAAATAAAGATATGTAGAGTGTACAAAAATGTCTTTTAATCTTGTAGTCTTAAACATGTCATGTGAAAAGTTGAAATTAGTGATTTGTCAAAAAGGAAAATAGACATTCTTTTTTAAACAGACTTAAAAGGAAAGTAAGGCAAACAAATTGAAACGGAGGGAGTATATTTTTTAAATGAGTGCATTCCTCAACGGTGCTGTGATATTTTACGAATATGTAAGTTGGTTCTATGCTTGCATCTTTGGAGATAGATAACTATTTTTTCGAGCCATGCCTACTTTGAAAAGAATGTAACTTCAAGGGCATTGATAATGTTACATCTCTAACAAGTGACAAGTTTTTCAGTTGGATGATGCTTGATTAGTTTTTCACTGTTAACTTTTGACCTTCTTTATTTTTGGGGAATTATTATCATTCATAAAGTCCGGCAGACTAACTTTTATGAAGGTTACAGATTTGGAAAAGAAAGGCTGAACAATACTTGGCTGACTCTGGAATTCCATATACAATTATAAGGTTTGTTCAATGCTCATATCTGTATCAATATTCCTTGTGGCTGAATAAATATGGGAAAAGCATCGAATTTTCATTTATTATAACCAAAGGTTCTCTTCATAGATATTTATGCCATATTAGGTGTGACATAAACAAAAAATATGTGAGGCACACTATCCTACAGTATAGTAAGTCTTTTAGAAGTTTTTTCTTTTAAACAGTTTGTAGAGTATATTCTCTAAGGATTGAAAATGTGAATTTTTAATTGGTAAAAGGATTTGCATATTTGAAAGAAACATGAAGCAAATTCAGGAAATGAATTAGCAGTTAAGAATAATTCCGTTGAGCCAAAATAATGCTGGGTCAGGAATATATGGTACTGTGATAAGGAAAGAGTATGGCTTTATGACGTCCATGACGGGGGGAGGGTGTGTGTATATGTGCTGATGAGGACGGGTCAAAGAGAATGACTGACAAGCATCTAAGTTGCCAAGCTTCTGAAAAATGTGTGCATATGATACCATAGGCAAATCCCACATCAGAAAGGCAGAGAAGAGTAAAGTGCTATAACAGCAGAAGTTCACATGGTACGACGCTTTTGGGCTCATTGATGGTGTAGTCCAAGGGATAAATTTTTGAGATCTGTCAGGTCAAAGCAGACAATACGTGCAATGGGCTTGGACTGTGATACATATGGTCTCAGAGCCAAACGCTTGCAGTACGATGTGGGGGCAAACCTCAGCGAGGATGTTGTGTCCTGAAGGAGGGTTATATGACTCCCATGATGGAAGTTGGGTAAATGGAGGGCAGGTCAAAGAGAAAGGCCGATAGGCTTCTAGGCTGACAGGTATTTGTAGGGGGCAGGGAAGAGATGCGTGAAGTGCTATATTAGACAGAGCACAAGTTTACATGGTATGCATGCTTTTGGGCTCATGATGGCTTAATTGAACAGTGTAACCGAAGGATAAATCTGTGAGACTTGTTAGGGGCAAATGACAGTTTCTCTTTTCTTAGGACTAAATTCGTCCCTCAAAATACACTTGTGTGCAAATAGAGTTCAATATGCTTTGAAGATAAAGTGAAGCTAAACAAAAAACTGACTACGTAATGCATACAGAACCAAATTCCTGAGCATTTACTAGGAAGAGCAGAGTGTCTAACCTACTGAGGGAACCCAATAATATTTCTTGGTATGCTGATTAAAATATTGAAGAAAGGCAGAAGAGATGGATTGTTGTATAATTTGTTTGTATCTCAGTGTTGTCATCCTTCATCTCTATGGAGATCAAACAATTCCAAAGAACACCCTTTGACCCTGGGGTTCCCTTTCATTACATTTTTTTAGAAAAGATCATCATTTATGATTCTAGTCAAGAACACTACTAAAAGGAAGGATCAAGAATGAAAAACTGTTATATTTGGCGGCAGTTAGCTCTCTCTCTAACTAGAAATTTGATTTGATAAGAGAAGTGCCAAAAGAATTCTTCCAGTAATAATTCTAGTAAAACATATTCGTTGTAAAGGTATATTATCTTTCATATGGTAGGGAAAGCCAATCGATCAACTAATACTTCACCCAAAGTCTTACCTAATGTGAAGTACTATCATGTGTAGAATAGTATACTGGAAAGTGTAAGTTATTTGGATAAACCCACTACAGAACCTATCAAGAACCCGAGAAATCCATCAAAAAGCTTTCACTAGAATCACCAGCAAGAAATATATTTAAATCATGCTTCCAGGTATACTGTGTCACTGGTAGATAAAGGTATTCTCCTCTTTGGGATGGGACTCAAACAGAAAAGGAGAAAATTTATACCTGGAAATAACTGGTAATTTGAGTAAACAATGGTTCTTACCTAGTTGGTGATGTTGAATTATGTGACCAACTCATCTAAAAGCTTAGGTGGTTGGAACGAACACTCTTATTTAGGTAAGGCATAATACATAGATAGACACCTAACATGGCAACTAACACTCTAACTTTTAGGATGCACATCTAGACACCTGAATTTGTCACCACTGTGTCAATTGAACACTCCAACTTACAAAATGATCATCTAGACACCTATATAATTTATGTGCCACGTCCACGAGACACAGTTGGGACAAGTAGAGGTGTCTGGATGTGCATTCTCAAAGTTGAAGTGCTTAGTTGCCAAGTTAAGGTGTCTATTTATGTATTATGCCTTCATGTAATTTTATTTTCATTTTTCAATAAACCCCCTCGCATGCGAGCTTAGTTCTTTTTCATGATTCAAGCACATAGAATTTTTTTTGACAATGGGTAGAGGTGAGACTCAAACTTAGGTATCTCTGCCTGATCTCATATCATGTTGGAGTGTATGACCAACTCATTTAAAAGGTCTTGCTGCTAGAGAAAGTATATTTCTTCTTTACTCATTTATGTCTTCAACTGGTTAATACAGAAAGCTGTAGTTCTTCCTTGAACAATACTAATTTTATCTAAGGTTCATGCCCTCATTTTTGTTCTTATTCCACTCGCTTGTTAATTATCCCTGTGAAATGAGTACCACGTTACAATCATCCCAATTTCGTTGCTTAAGATTTGCTGTTTGATCACTATTTTTATGTTTTGTCTTTGCTCAGAGCTGGAGGTCTACAAGATAAAGAAGGTGGAATACGCGAACTACTTGTTGGAAAGGATGATGAACTTCTCGAGACAGATACTAAAACTGTTGCTAGAGCTGATGTTGCAGAAGTCTGCATTCAGGTATACTAACGGCCCCGGCTCTTTTAGAATTCTATCTAGATGCTTTGCTGTTTCTTTGGTCAGCTTCAATGCTTCATACTTTCATCAACCTTGTTCTCTAGAGCGCTGCTCTCTGTATGCTCATCTTCTAAGACTAAAGTCTTTGAGGCATTTTGATGTCGACAGGCACTGCAGTATGAGGAAGCAAAATTTAAGGCATTTGATCTGGCCTCAAAACCTGAGGGAACTGGCACTCCAACTAAGGATTTCAAGACTCTATTTGCACAAATCGCTACTCGTTTCTGATAGACATCTCCCTAGGACTATGTCCAAGATTTTCATCACTCTTTTCTGCCAACATTTGTTCAAAGGGGAGGCTATAGACTTAAGGTAGATAGGCATCTGAGTTTGGTTGTACTATTGCAGATCCCTCCCCCCTGCGTAGCAGCTAACCTCATCGACACCATGGCATACTCATAGATGACTTGCCAATAGTTCAATGATGCAATAGAGGGTTATGTTATGTGCCTCTCTTGATTTTTCTGATGTTTGGAAGGCAAATAACTCAATAAGCATTGTTGCACTTGTGCAAAAAGCAAATTACTATCTTATTATTACTTGCTTGCATTTGCATGCTTCGCCAAGTAATGTTTCAACTTTATGATTTTCATTTTATGCATCATTGATGGCAATCAAACTTATCTGGTGGATCAGGGCCATGGTTTTATAATTCATATGCTAATGGTTCTCACGTGCCTTGACGTAACTAGTAAAGTTGTAATCAGGAGGTCATGAGTTCGAGCCGTGTATAATAGATCCATGTGATTTGACCCCTTCTTTAGATATTCCTATATTATGTATAAATATTTCTTTGATTTTATTTTTTATTGCTTATTTTCCATAAAAAAAACATTTTTCTTAGTACCAAACTAACCCAAAGTCTTTGTTTCTTTTTTAATATATGAACTTAATAAAATATGTAGATAGCATAAGACAATTGTTTTGGTATACATCTACAATTCTTTTTTTAATGGTTGTAAAATAAAAGTCACCTAATAAAGTCAGCATTATGAGCTTTACAAACATTTAAAACTTTTGTTTTAGTTAGCATATGATCTTTTACCAACAACCCAAGATACTACTCACCTTTCAGAATCCATTCAAACAACTCAAAATTCATAACGTCTAGATTCTGAACAATAAAGCATATCGCGTTAGGATATTTTGAAGAGATCTAAGCAACAAGAAGGTTGAAAATATAATTGATTTTTTTAAAATTATTTCTTGAATTTCATTAATGGTAGGACTTTGAATAATCGTATAAACAAAGTAGAAAATTAGACGTGTTTTGAATAGCCACAAAAATAAATTAGTAGATTCCTTAAACGATTAAAGTATTAGACTCTTTTACTATAACTATGACTATTAAATATTCTAATAAACAAAATATTAGACTCAGTCAGCTATATTAAGTACATCTTTAATTTGTTGATATGTTATATTAAGTTCTTTAATATCTCATTGGTCAAAGAAAACATTTATTTTTTATATGAGAAATTATTGGGAAGCACTATGTCTTTATCAATGGCGTTTCAGCCGTTATTTGTGCTTATACCATACATATATTATATACACTAAAAAATATATATTATATACTAAGATTCTTTTCTTTTTTTTGCTGGTTTTGACTATAATTTAAATTAAATAATAAGTCCCATCAAAGTGTCTAGCAGAACACCATCAATTGTGGTCCCAAAATATGGGACATTTCAGAACTTGATTCTCTCTTTTGAAATCAATTCTTTATTTGTAAGTCTTACTTCATGGAAAAATGAATATATCGACCGCAGATTCTGAATTTAAATTTTATATGAGTTTTTATATTAATTTATAATAATATTTATAGACAAATATTTAATACACATATATTTGTGATATAAACAAAAATTACTGAATCGCTGTGAATCTATAAGTGTTTAGATTTGGTTTTACTTGTATATTAGTACAATGGGGCAACACTACATTATAAGGTATGGATTTGGACGAATCTATTAATTTTTGTTTAAATTATGTATTTATATTTTTTTTTTAATCTGTTATGGATTCAATAACAAGTTCAAAACTCGTAACTTCAAATTCTAGCTTTGCGTCTGTCATGTACCTCAGTACATCTTCAACACAACCTCCACCGTTCTTTTAGTATTAATATTATACATAAATAGAGAAGAAACAAATTACAAGATAGGAAATTGAATCCCGACAATAAGATGTAAATACAGCTAGTCAATAAGCTCTGCTCTCTGTCCCACAGCTAAACGACATCACAATTTTCAAAGTTTTGTTATCAATTGGACTTAAAAGTCCCCACAAATATTTTTAATGCAATTTGTTAACAAGTCACATGGCAAATCTTGAAAGATTTTCTCTCATTTGAAAAAATGTTTAGTTTAAATCAATGTACTATTACTTGTAGTTAAATTACACATATAGTAAAATAAAATATTTACGTTGTCAGAGTATATAACTTAACTTCAAATAGGGCTCCAAGTATATTGAACAAACTAACATATACTGCAAGTTCACAAAATTCCAGAGTACATATCTGATGCACACTGTGCAGTAATGGCTTGTCAGCTAGCTCTTCAACGAATGATTTTATGGCCTCGGTCATTCTTCTATGGAATATCGATTCAATCAACTCAACTCCTATGTTGTGTATGCTGATGATCATCACCAAGAACATGCACCGAAGCCTCGTCTTGTCTGATTATCAGATGGTTATTGAAGTGTACGCAGCAGTATTATAGCCCCGTCCATATTAGGAAACTCGACGAGTTTAGCAACCAAATGATCTTGTTGTTACAGTCTTTATTACTGTATCAAGACACTGAGAAGCCAGTTACCTGTGACATACATTGGCAAATTGTGTCAAATTTTAGAGTATGAGAAAAAAATGATACAAATACATCAAGAGCCTTACAAACTGTATTGCTGCATTTGATCTTCAAATATGTGGATGGACTTGGGATTCGAAAGTAAGAATGTGTTTCAAGTTTCTTACACAGGTTTCCAACAAGATAAGGCGTAAATTGTTCTTCCTTTCCACCCCAGCAACAACCACTGGCTATCTTCATCGATTACAAAGTCTCTATGATATCCTAACCTCACTTTCTCTATTGCCTTATTCACGAATTCCTCCCGGTCAAAAGGTATCTGCGTAAACCTTGCCCCCATAATACGAGCTTGCCACTGCTTGTATGTCTCTGGTCGTTCAACTCTTTCCCACCCCTCACAAGCTATGACATTCAGTGCTTCCCTCCCAAATATCTCTCTCTCAATTAATCGTCTTTCTGGAATCTCACGGGGAACAATAGTTTCAAGCATATCAAAAAGTGCAGAAAAGTGGAATAAGGCCTCACGAAACCGTGTGACAAAAAATGGGGCACTATAGGCCCCATTGACAATACCATGGACGAAAATATCTGGATTGATCTTCCTTACGAGGTTGAGAACGATAGTTCTTGAACTTTCAACTGCAATAGTCTCATCATGCAGGTTCTTAAAACGATACAAGCAGTTGACAGCAAGAAATTCATCTTTGTCGAGTTTTAGATCCTCAACTGTAATGCTCTCCCATTTCTTTGCAATTGCATGGTATTCAAATGGAACATTAAAGGATCGAGCATAATCAGCCAAACGGCGACCTGTTTCCTCAATCCGTTCCGCTGGCCTGAAGCCTGGTTGGGGAAACTCTATGCCAGTAATACGAAGCCTTGGTGGCCCCCCTTCTCTTTCTGCAATACGTTGGATGAATGTAGGCCATTGGAAACCATACAGGATGCCAAAGTCAATAACATGAACCCTTGTTGCATTCTCTGCCTTTATCATGATTGTCTTGTTTGAAGCAAAACTTGAGATCTTTCTGAATGGGCTAGATGCGAGATACAAATGGTAGGCCTTCAAAAGATCAGCTGCAGATGTTCGTTTATTGACAAGAGCTTTATATATCTGGCTACCAGTACCAGCCAAACGCGCCTCGAGACCATCTGCAAAGCAATGAGCCAATCTCTGGTTTCCATCTCCAAATGGGGATGAATGTTGTCTTATTTGTTTCAAAAGTTCATATGCAATCCTGGAATCGTCAGCAGCAACAGCCTGTGCGCAATTTATCATGAGAGTTCTCAAATCTATGACTTCCTTCTTTCCGCCCTGTTTCTTCCCTCGGCCCTTTCCTCCTTTTGATCCTTTTGATATCTGCACTGTGGTTTTGCTTTTAGCATTCCTCAGGTTTTGTCGATAAGCTTCTAGTGCTTCTCCTCCCTTCCCCATGCTATTCAGCAAGACGATATCAAACTCCTCCGATCGTAGAGTTGATTCAGTAAAAACCGCAGCCTGTTTACTACTCCTTTCTCCTTCGATATTATTATCACCCCTCAGAGGATTTTTCTTCCCTCTCACCTCAGTTGGTGAAGTCTCTCCCTCATCCTTTTCCTCCACCTGAGCAGCTGCATAACCAGCTTGCCTTTGGGGCTCCCGAGATGGCAAGTCATTTATATCTACACTGTTCAACAACTTATTACTAGTCGGGAGGAACTTACTTGCTTCTTCAACTCCTTTCTGAAAGTTCAAAATAGATTGACTCTCATCATATATATCAGGAATATGAAAAGAACTAACAGGAGAGTCTAAGAATCCATCGACAACATTACTCCCACTATTTGATGAGCATACTGAAGAAGTATTATGAAATGAAAGGCCTTCGAAGTAAGAAGAATTGCAGTCAGTGGAAATGTTAACCCCCCTTGGATCGATTAGGTAACCACTACTGCCCCCAGTATTACTTGTGGAATTGTATATACTTCCTGCAAAGTAGTCATCAGGACTCTCACTGTTCCGATCAGTAAACACGTTTTGCTCCGGTGATAGTGGATACTTCTTACCAAGGGCCTCATAGAGTGACTTCTCTTTAGCTTGAAGTTCCAAGGACTCCTGAAGCATATCTGTCTTGTCCTCCATGTCTTCTTCCATTAGCATCCGATTTATATAGCTCAACACTGCATCCGAGAAATCAATATCTTCATTGAAGTCGTTCTCAACGCCAAGGTCAGTTCTTGATTCTACATTAGTAGGTAAATGGTCACCACTTATAAATCCAACAGCACCAAAATCGTGTTGGACAAAGTTATTTTCAAGTCTAGGACCATTGAGTAGATTCTGATCTGAATAAATAAGTCCAAATCTTGGTCCATTAATCATCCTCTGCTCTGAAGAAAAAGGTAATGGTTGGTTCCCAAATCGAAAATTATTCAAAGAACTCGGATGTCCATTAAACCTCGGATCCATTTTAACCAAACCTCAAAGTCAATGATGTATCTGTGACAACCATATACAATTCCAAGCTCAAAAGTGGAACAAGCACAAGCAATATCTCTCAGAAAATAGCAAAAAGACATAAACTTCAACAACCCCATAGAATCAAGAAAACAAACAGCAAATTCAGCATATACAAAACTGAATCTTCATCACTATTTAACAAACTACCACAAGTAATATCTCTCAGAAAAGAAGAAAAAAAAAAGCAAAAAAGACAGAAACTTTAACAACCCCATAAAATCAAGAAAGCAAACAGAAGATTCTGCATTAAAAATTAAATCTTTATCACTATTGTCAAAAAATAGCAAAAAAGACAGAAGCATTAACAACCCCATATACAATCAAGAAAAGAAACAGCAGATTCTGCATTAAAAATTGAATCTTTATCACTATACAGACTGCCCACAAGTAAAATCTCTCCAAAAATAGCATAAAAGACAGAAACCTTAACAACCCCATAAAATAAAGAAAACAAACAGCAGATACTGCATTAAAAATTGAATCTTTATCACTAATTAACAGACAACCCCACAATTAAAATCTCTCATAAACTTAACAACCCCATAAAATCAAGAAACCAAACAGCAGATCCTGCATTAACAAAATTGAATCTTTATCACTATATAACAGGACCAGCCACTCAGTGAAATAGCCAGCAAAAACTTGCACAAATTAACCAATTCTAAATCCTATACATGGTCCATACTCAATGACTTAAGCATAATATTGAGCTCAAATTTGAACTACTTACTTTAAAAAATCAAGAAAAAAAACCATGTAAAGCAAAACAGAACTGTCTTAAAATAATATGAATATAAAAAATGAGAAAAAGGACATACCTTAAACCTAGGGAGAAGCAAAGAGAGAGAGAGAGAGAAAAATGAAGAAATGTGAGTATTATGTAAGATTCTTGTATAAGAAAACAGGGGAGATGGTAACCGGTAATAGCAAGTCATCAGTCGTTGACATGGAAATCATAGGAGTCACCTTCCAAATGAAAAGCCTAGTGGTCTTATGGTTGTAAAGGATCCAAAAAATACGTCTTTTAACTTGGTCTTACTAAATACTTAAATTTGTATAAAGTTGAATAAATAGACATATATATCCTACGTGACATAATGCACGTCACGTAGGACATGAATTGCCACATAAGACATCATGTCGGATGTGTATGTCTATTTACTATATTAAATCACTGAATATTTGTAATAACTTACAACAATCTCGAATATTTTTATTTATAAAAAGAATATGGATATACGTGATTTATAAGTGGTGATATCTTAAGATATTTTAATACCTTATTTATGAACTATAATTTGTTCATTTGATATACTCTTTTTGTAAGACGATAAGAATCTGAGGAATTTTTTATGGTTTTCACGAGTTATCTCGCAAATCATGTCATGAGGTGTTATTCACTTATGAAATTGATTGATAACAAGGATACCATTGCAATGCAGTGAAGTATGCATTCCAATTATCGTGAAGTGAGATTTCGAGTAAGTGTTTACATAATCTTCTTTTATCTGATGAAAAAATGAGTCTTCATTGATATCAACACATGTAAAATTAGTGTAATTGAAATAGTCGATCATGTAACACGAAATAAGAGAGCTGACAGTTTTACATAACAAAAATTAGTGTGCAATATATAAACTTATCAAAATTAAAAGTTTGTTACATGATACTCGAAAACAAAAAAAAAGTAAAAAGTGTCTCGATCATATACATAAGCAAGCGCTAAATAAGTGATTTTGGAGAGATCAAGCTTACTGTATAAATAATTCCTTGCTTTAGGATATTATTTCCGGGCCATAATCCAAATGGTCCTTTGGATGTCCTAAATGGTAAGTTAGACCCTACGTGGTCCATACATCGATAGTTGAGTAGCACTTCACCATCAGCAAACATATGTATCGGTCTGAGAAAAAACAAATCCAACAAATCCTTATCTTGTATCGGTTTGAGAAAAAAACAAATCATTATCTTGTATTGTATACGATAGTATCCAAGATTCCTTGACACTGTAGTCCTTCATTATCCACAACTTAAAAGTAGACTCACTCCAAAAGGCGGTCAGCAATTGAGAGAAGAACCAACCCATCGCAAGAACAATGCAACATACAAGTTGATGGTTTGCAATTTGAAGGAGAATCAAGTTTTTCTATATCCTCAACAGCTGGTTGAACCAAAGATAAAGAAGAAGAGTATAAATTAAACTTGTTTTCCTCACCGACACGCCATAGACTAACAAGAAACTTTTTCGAATTTAAGTCATTCATGGCATGACTTTGATGCTTCATCTTAAAGTAAGGCTCAGAGATTAACGTCTTTCCAAAATTTTGAAACACATTTAAATCGAAGAAGAGACCGCACGGGTAACCTTTTGAGGATGTCCACAATTATTTCTTCGGGGAAGTGAACTTGTTCTGTTCTTAAACAATGATTAGGCCCATGCAGAAGATAACTAACCTGATGATTATCAACATCCATCAGCTTTCCCCTGCAAATTTTATTATTTTTTATAGTAGCATACATCTATCCAACAATTATATTCATCAAAACAATATAATACGATAGAATATAATACAATATGATACATTATGAAACAACGAGGGGGTACTGACCTATTCTTTTTGGTCATAGTTGGAGCTTCCTCTTCTCTCTATCTCTATTGCTTTGACCTATTCTTCAATTAGGATTTGGTAGGGTTCTTTTTCAACTAGTATGGCGTAATGAACGGTTAATATTAAAAAACTTAATAAATTATTATCTTACTATATGAGATCGTTGAATCTAATTGTTGAACCAAATTTTAATAAGATATGGAATATTTTTAAGAATAAATTATTAATGATACAATAACTTAAAGAATAACAAAGATTTAATACATATAACAATATATTATAATTATAATTAAATAAATTAAAAGATATATCTAACGTGTCAAATTATTTATTTTCCAATTGATTATAGGTTTCTTCATGTGATAATAATAAAAATAATAAATTAAAAAAATCAAAATATTCTTTCTCAAATTAAATAGCTACTGATTATCAAACTTTCTCAAAAGGTATTAGAAGTGTTTCAGGGACATTAATACCTTTTTAAGACATTGACTAATATATTTAATAACAAGTGTTAAAAGTGGTTACTTACCAATTAATTTGCCCATCTGGTACCTCTAATCAGGAATGAGAATACACCATTAACTTGGCCAATATGGTGCTTTTGATCAATAATCTCCCAACAGTTCCAAGTTTAGGTAGTGGACATGTGAGCATGTGTTTAGCTTATCGTATCGGTTATTACTACAGTCCATGTCCACATTTATGAACACCCTTCATGAAATTTCCGGCTACACCACTGATTCAGTGGATGCTGCAATTACAACCAAAAAAAATGACCTCAAAAAAAAAAGCACATGTGGATATTGTTCATGTCAAGTTTGACAATATTCCACCAACAGAAAAGCAAATTGAAGGAAAAAATGATTACCGTTTCATGTGGGCGGAGGATCCAATTTTCGTCAACCAAATCAAGATGACAAATGCATGTACTCAATGCAGAATCATTTTTTTTTCCTTTTGGCTTTTGGAGTTGGGAGACAGAGCTGTTGATTTAAGTGGTTCCACAGTGATGGTAATCTAAATCTCTTTCTAGAAAGACTAGTAAAACAAAAAAAGCAAATGGACAAAGTTAAGAATGAGGCTCAGATTTTCGCCTATTTAATCAAAGAAAAGGAAGAGCAGAGTTTGAACAGTGCCCTGGCTGCAAGCAACAGTTGCCTTATAAGACCTTCCGATTGAACTCGCAAGCCAGGCCACGAATCAACTCTAATTTTCTTCACTTTTCATTTTCATTATGAATAATCTTCACTGCCTCTGAAACTTGGAGCGTTCAAGATTAAAACAAGACATCAAAGTTTGAATATGTGGAAAAATGCAGCAACAAATCTTGATCAAAAAAGTAAAATACAGCAACAATATACGGATCCTCAATATTCACTTCCATTCCCTTTGGCCTTGTCTCATATCAGTATGTACCTAACAATTTGGGGAAATTGTATAGATGGATGCATAAAAAGTTTCTTTCTCAAAGGGGACTCTTCCTTATATGATCTGATAGTACCAAGAATGAAAGAGAAAGACTAAATATTGTAGAACTATACTTTAAACAGAAAAGAGGCTCAGATTTGAGTGAAAATCAATCAGAAAAAAGGCCAATCCACCATGGCTGCAAAAAGCATCCTCACAAATTCCCCTGCCTTTGTCTAGACAAGATATGAATCAGTTCAAAAATCTGATTTTCGAGCTTCTTGGAGAATATCATCACAGCCTTATTCAAAAAGTTTAGTTCGGGGTTTTCCACAAGTTAAAGGGGCAAAACATATATTTTCCTTCATTATTACCATAATCATGGCAATCATATCATCAATATCATGAAGAGCATTCTGCTAATTGAAAGGGCTGTTAAACTTTATATTTTTAACAAAAGCATAGGAAAATTCATTGGCAAAATTGAACTTAGGAGAAAGAGTTAACCACCCTTAGAAAATCTCTTACCATTCCTGAGTTCAATAAAAAGCCTCATTCTCTAAACACAACAGATACTTGGGAGGCTCAGATTTGATTTTTTCTCAGAAAAAGCTAAACTATGCCATGGCTGCAAGCATAATAGCCTAGTGAGATGAAAACCAATATAGTTCTCTCACCTCACAGACCCTTAGAGCTGCCACACCAAGTTACAACAAAGTTCAACTATCTGGTTCTTAAAGAATGAACATCTTCATTGCCTCATTGAACGTATTCTATGTTGCTCGGACTGAACCCTATAGGGTATTCAGGTTCCTGAGAACCCGCATTGAGTTGAGTGACCATCTGAGAAATTTACCATCGACTTTAGTGCTCATATTTTGTTGTATATGAACATGCAAAGAGAAAGGGACAATGCCATGGCTGCAAACGCCAGTTTACAGATGACGTCATACCGGGTTGCCCTGTCAAGATACAGGTCAGATTTTCTCAATGCATTAAAGTAACAAGTTTTTGCAAGGATTTCCCCGAAATCAGGAGCTCTTGTTTCTGCATAAGTTTGGAGAACCTTTTGTCTCGCTCAGCATAAGTTCCATAGGAATTAAGTCATGCAGCATAAGTTGGGTAGCATAAAGAGCCTCATTCTTTCACACAAACAGATTTGGGAGGCTCAGATTCGCCTTTTCTCAAACATAAGTTAAACCCCACCATGGCTGCAAGCTTAAGGAGTCTTTTTTTTTTTTTGAAATAGGTAACTTTGTATTCACACAAAAGACCTCATCAAAATCGATGAGGTGGGATTTACAAACCCCCAGGGGGTGCCATCATACTCAAATCCAAAAAGACAAAACTAACTTTACAATTGGCTTTTAAACTCCACAAGGCTATCTACTTCCCCCACTAAATTTTGCTTACACCAAAAAAACAAAAGACTAAGGCATTTCATCTTGATCTCCTCT